CCTACCTCCTGCTGTTCCTTGGGCCGCTGGCTGTCTGCAGGTGCGGGGCCCTAGCCCGTCAGAGCCCAGAGGACGGGAGTGGAGAGGGGAGGTAGCCCCAGAGTCTCGAGGGGCCAGAGGCAAAATACTGGGCTGTGTCCCCCGGAAGGCAGTTTCCTCAGGAAACCTTCAATAGAGGCCACCTCAGACGATCAGCCTCATCCGTTGTGGAGGCGCGGATTTCTCCTTTAGTGAATGGTGATTGGGTTCTACCTGGACCCGGGACTTCTGTTTGAATTATAATCTTTCCCCCCCAATCCCCCTACAGAGATCTGGAAAACGGAGGCCTGGGCCAGACAGAAGCTTTCTCCAAGATTCTTTGTTGAAGGGATTCAAAGAAAAACTTGGGTGGTCAGTAATCCGTGGGGGATGGAGGGGTGAGTGCTACGTGTAACGGTTTTACTGTTGCTACTGAACCAGTTTTGATTTGTTTTCCCTTCAAGAAGCAGACCCAAACACCGAGATGCTAAGGTTCGCGGCAAAGAGCGGGTTCATCCACAAGGCAACCAGGCAAGCAGACCAGAGAGCGCTCTGGAATCTGCCTCCCCGCGGGCACCGGGCTGGGTGCTCAGGGCATGAAGACCAAGCAGCAGGTGGTGGGGGGCGCGGGGAGCCCGGGGAAAGGGACGGACTAGGTGCGCGGGCCGCGGTCACGCCCAGTGGGAGGGTCAGCGGTCCATCCGGTCCTAACAGCTCAGCTCCAGCTAGACGCCGCTGAGTCCGGCTTTCTAGAGAACAACCCGGGCGGCTATTTTATGGTTCTGGCTTCGTGATTGGAGGACGTCCAAGTCTTAAAACACCCTCGATTAGTGCGGGCAGGCAGAATGGATTTGACTAATCATGATCCGCAGTTTCAGCATCTCAGGGGCCGCCCTCACCCCCAGCTATCCTGCCAAAGGTGGGGCCTTGGTGCTGAGATCGGGGCCACACGTGTACTAGACCGTCGGTCAGCGCTGCTGCTGAGCGGACCCGAGGCCATCCTCACACCGTCACTGGCCCCTGTGCTCAATACAAGGAAGGAAAGTGGAGTTGGGGCCCCAGCGCCACCCAAACATCTGCCGGGACAGGATGGCCCCGCCCCCGGGCCCGATCCTTCCTTCCGCAGGTCCTTTGGCTGAACCAGCTCACATCTGCCTTGACACACTCCGTTTCCATCTGTTTGGTGTGGGTTTTGTCAGCACAAGTTCATGAACCAGCGAACTGAAGATCCCCTGGGGGAGAGAGTCAGTAGAGGTTTTTGGTATTTTTTTTTTAATTAAGGGAAAATTCACATCACATGAAATTATCCATTTTGAAGTGGATTCAGTGGATTTGGGACATGCATCATGTTGTTGCAGCCACCATCTGCACCTGGTTCCAAAGTACTGTCATCGCCCCAGAGGGAGACCCCGAACACATTACATGCTAGCTCCCCATCCCCAGTCACTCCAGACCCTGGCAACCGCTAATGTTGCTGTCTGTCTCTCTGGATTTCCCTGAATTCTGGCTCTTTCATGTAAATGGAATCATATAATGGGTGACTTTTGTGTCTGGCTTCATGCACGCAGTGTGTTTTTGAGACTCATCCGTACTGCATCAGCCCTCCATTCCTTTTAATGGGCAAATGAAATTCCTCTCCGTGTATATCAACATTTGTTTATCTGTTCATCAGGGATGGGCTTTTGAGTTCTTTTCACCTTTTGGCAACGGTGAATAGTGCTACTGTGAGCATGAATGAATAAGTTTTAATTTGAATACCTGTTTTCAATTCTTTGGGGTACAAGACTAGCCGTAGAATTGATGGTCTGTATGGTGATTCTATACGTAGCCTTTGGAGAAACTGCCGAGTTGTTTTCCACAGCAGTTGCACCGTTTCTTATTCCCACCCTCAATATACAAAAGTTCTGATTTCTTCACATTCTTGCCAGCACTGGTGATTTTACATTTTTTAAACATTACAGTCATCCTATTGGGTGTGTGATGTGGTATCTCATTGTGGTGGTAATTGTCATTTTCAATAATTGCTAATGATGTTGAGAGCCACTTGGACAGCAGGGAGATCAAACAAGTCCATCCTAAAGGACATCAACCCTGAATATTCATTGTAAAGACTGACACTGAAGCTGAAGCTCCAGTACTTTGCCACCTGATGCAAAGAGCAGACACATCGGAAAAGACCCTGATGCTGGAGAGATTGAAGGTGGGAGGAGAAGGGGACAACAGAGGATGAGATTGTTGGATGGCATCACCGACTCATTGGACATGAGTTTGAGTAAGCTCCAGGATTTTGGTGATGGACAGGGAGGCCTGGCGTGCTGCCGTCCATGGGGTCGCAGAGAGTGGACACGACTGAATGACTGAACAACAGTGACTTGAGCATCTTCTCGTGTGTAGCTGGGTCTCCTTTACAGGAGCAGCAGCTTTTCCTTTGTCAGTGAGGGTCCTTGAAGGGGGAGATGAGAATCCCTGTGGTCGGGCCTTCCAGGATCCCAGGATCCCAGGACCCAGAATGGGGAGGACGTGGTGGGGCAGGCCAAGCCCAGACCAGGGCTGGGCGGGGGCTGGGGGAGGCAGGGGTCTCCGCTACTCCTACCTGCGAGCTACACAAACATCCCATGTCAGCCCTGATCCTAGCCCGTCCTGCTGTGCGGGCTGCACCTGGCCGTCTGTCCCCCGTCCCATGCCCTGTCAACCACGGGCGCGGTTTCTCTTCCCCTCTCAGCTCCCTGCTGTCTCCTGGAGTTCTGTTTAAGGCAAAGTTAGACTTAGCTTTAGCCTGGAGATTCCCAGGGGTAGCCAGCTGCGTGGGGGTGAGGGTGCAGGGCCTGTGGGGAGCCCGGGGGTGCTGGCCTGAGGCCGCTGGGCCCCAAGCAGCTGGTCGCCAATGGCAGCAGCAACTGTCAACCCCAGAGGCCACAAACGTTCACTTTCCACCTGACCGGCCCTCCCAGCCCTCCAGGGAATGAGTGAGGTTCCATTACCCCAGCCCCAGCTGCAGGGAGGGGACCCTGAATCAGGGCTGTCCTGGCCCCTGGCCACCTCGAGGCCCCAAATGTGTGGGGTGATTCTCCCTGGGTGGGCAGGGAACTGACCTAGGGGCTGGGGGATGCAGTGGCATCAGTGGTGGGCTCCTTGGCCATCCCCCCAGTGCACGGGCAGTTCCAGAACAGGTGGTCCTGATTCCTTGCCCCCAGCACCAGCCCACAGTGGGGCCCACTGAGGCTTTGCTGAATGAGTGAGTGAGTGAATGAATGACTCGTCACGGCTGAGGGGCCATGGAAAGAGTGAGGGGGTGGGGTGAGGTGAGGGGATGCAGCCGGTCAGCCAGCAGCTCCCCCTGTGACCCGGGGCCGGTCCCAACCCCCCTCCTACTGTCTGAACCTGTTCTCCCCTCTGTGAAATGGGCACACAGAACCCACCCTGCTTTGCTATATGGACTCAGAGGGTCCATGACCCCCTCCAACCTGCCTCCCTACCCTGCACCAAGCCAGCACAGATAGAGGAACCTGGGACCCCCACACCACGGAGCCTCAGGGGGCTGCTGACGTCCAGGGGTTGTGGGGCTGTGGGCTCAGCTCCTGGCTCCTGGGGATGGAGGTGACCTTGGGAGAGGCCCTGGGTGCCCACCACGGGTATGTGGTTCGGAGCGGGCCCCAGGGGTCTGCCTCGGCTCTGGGGACCTCAGTGTCCTCAACCATGAGGGGAGCACCCTTGTCCCGAGGTGGCCTGGGGACCCAGGAGGGAGACAGGACCCCCGGGTGGCACTGGCCAGCCCCATCCTCACGGCAGAGAGGTGACGCCTGCAGCTGAGCCCGGCCCGGTCAGCCCTTGGCTGGGTGGAGCAAGGGCCGGCGCTGCACGAAGTTGGCCGCCGTCATCGAGGGCTCCATGACGCCCACCAGCACCCAGCGGGGCCCCTGGGACTTGGGGACGGTGCAGCCAGTTCCCCGGACTCCCGGTTGCCAAGGACCTGTTCCCAGCTGTGCTGAGCAGGTGAGCGGCCGACAGCTGGTGGGGCCCGGGCCTCGTCCCCGATCCTGACCGGAGGTGTGAGAACCCGCCTCTGGCAGCCCTGGGGACCCGGGGTCAGGAGTGGGGGGCATGGCGGGGAGCTGCTCCTCAGCCCCCACGCGCTCAGTCAGTCCAGATCTCTGGGGTTCAGGGCCCCCCAGGAGCGTCACGGCGGGAGGGCGGACCTCGGGGCGCTGGGAGGCGACAGGTCCGTTGGGCGGGTGGGGACCAGGTCGGTCAGCCCAGCGGAGGGGCCAGCAGGATCGGAGTGCAGGGAGCGTGAAGCTGTGGCCACGGGGGTGGAAGCATCTGGCCTGGAGGGAGCTGGCATTGGGGGGGCCAGAGGCAGCAGAAAGCGGGTCTGGCGAAGGCTCAGGGACCACAGGGACCCGTCCTGGGGGCTTGGCCTTTGAACTCTATCCTCAAGATGCTGCCGCTGGGCCAGGCAAGCCCTGTGCCAGGTTGGCCCTTCAGGTGGCAGGGCGCAGGGAGCCGCCCCCGCACGCCCCCCCCGCCGCGGGCCCCCCCACTCCACCCCACCCCACCCCACCCCACCCCACCCCGCTCATCTGGATGGCACCAGCCATGGGCAGCTGGGCTGAGCACGGCCCTGTGCTGGAGGAGGAGAGGCGGGTGGAGGTGGGTCCAGACCAGTCTCTGGGCGACTCCTGCCACCCCACCCGACACTGTGAGCCTCTCCCCTTGGGGTGTTTTCTCCTTGGTGCCTGGGATTCCTGAATGTCCAGAATGCTGGAGAGGTTGCCGATTAAACACGAGACAAGGAAAAAACAAGCAGCAAGCAGGATTTCTGAATGACAATGAGGACGTTCTGTTGCAAGCAGATTGGGTTCAGGAGGAAGGGACGCCGGGGACCATGGTGGAAGGGGAGGCCCCGGGGCTCCAGGAGGGTGGGGGCCCAGGGGTCCATGGAGGGCTAGGGGAGGGGGTGAGGGCGAGAGGGGCCCGGGGCCCTAGGAGCACTCTGAGGGCTTCACTGTCTTCTTCACGGTGCTCCCCTCGTGCGTGACCTCGCAGCTGTAACTGCCTTTAGATTTCCATTCGCTGCCCGTCAGGGTCAGGTAGCTGCTGGCCGCATACTTGCTGTTGCTCTGTTTGGAGGCCTGGCTGGTCACCACGCCCCGGGTGACGGGGGTGCCGTCTGCCTTCCAGGCCACGGTCACGTTGCCCGGGTAGAAGTCGCTGATGAGACACACCAGGGTGGCCTTGTTGGTGCTGAGCTCGTCCTTGGAGGGCGGGAACAGAGTGACCGAGGGTGCGGACTTGGGTCGACCTGCAGGTGGTAGAGAGACGGACGGTCATCATGGCAGCGTCCCTGGTGGAGTCCCTGACCTCGGGAGACAGCAGTGACTTTCCCAAGAGAGCAGAGGGTGGGACAGGCTGGGGAAAGAGTGAGAGCCACTTACCTGGGACAATGACCTTGGTCCCGCCGCCAAAGAGGAACCACGGCATGTGAGCCTCAGCCCAGACACCGGGCCAGCACCTGGGGCCTGTCCCCCGGGGGCCGGGCCGGAGCGGGAGCCTGTGGGGCGTGATGGACACGGGGCTGGGTCCTGTGGGAGGGGGTGTGGCAGCCAGCCCTCCAACAGCCAGGGACCCCTGGGCAATGCTGTCTAACCACCTCATCCGCCGCCTCCTTCTCCTACGGTTATGGTTACCAAGGGTGGGAGGGGGGAGGGATCCATTGGAAAATCGGGACTGGCATATACGCACTGCAGTATATAGAACAGACAACTAATAAGGACCCACTGTATCGCACAGAGAGCCCTATTCAATGCTCTGTAATGGCTTACAAAACATGGGTTCCATCCCTGGGTCGGGAAGATGCCCTGGAGAGGGAAATGGCAACCCGCTCCAGTATTCCTGCCTGGAAAATCGCACGAACAGAGGAGCCTGGAGGGCTACCGTTTGCGGGGTCGCAAAGAGCCGGACGTGACCGAACATGTCACGAAATGGCTTATGTGGGGAAAGAATCTAAGAAAGTGTAGATATATGTCTATGTATAACTGATTCACTTTGCTGTAAGCAGAAATGAGCAACTCGACTATACTCCAATAAAAAACTTTTTCAAAAGAAAATTGGTCCCCTAAAGGTTACAAACAGTACAATTCCATTTATAGAGCTATCTTGAGGGGACCAAATTAGAAAAGAAGACCAAGTTAGTAGCTGCCAGCTCATCTGTCCCAGCTTGGGAGGGAAGGAAGTGGGCGTGGCCAGGAAGGGCTCTGGGAATATTCTGTACTTGACGGCATCCCGGTCGTACCCTGGCCGTGAGTTTTTATTTTACAAGACATCACCGTTGGGGGAAATGGGGTGAAGGGTACATGGGACCCCCTGTATTACATCTTACAGCTGCGTGTGAATCTACAAATATCCCCAAATAAAATGTTTGATTGAAAAAGAGATTACATACAACGTGATGACATTGATATCTGGAAAAGGCAAAACTATAGGGTCAGAAAGAGATCGGGCTTCCCTGGCTGTCCAGTGGCTAAGACTTCAAGCTTCCACTGCAGGGGCCATAGGTTCAATCCCTGAACTAAAGACACCACATGCCGCTCCCCATAGCAAATCAAAGAGAGAACTCAGTGGTTTTTAATGGTTGGAATAGAAAGAGGACTTGACTACACAAGAGCCTGGGGAAATTTGGGGAGGGTGGTAGAAATGTTCTGTACCTTGATTGGAGTGGGGGCAACACAACTCTATGGTTTTATTAGCACGTGTTCATTGGAAGGACTGATTCTGAAGCTGAAACTCCAATACTTTGGCCACCTGATGCAAATAGCTCACTTATTGGAAAAGACTCTGATGCTGGGAAAGATTGAGGGCAGGAGGAGAAGGGGACGACAGAGGATGAGATGGTTGGATGGCATCACCGAGTCGATGGACATGGGTTTGGGTGGACTCCAGGAGTTGGTGATGGACAGGGAGGCCTGGCGTGCTGCGGTTCATGGGGTCGCAAAGAGTCGGACAGGACTGAGCAACTTTCACTTCCACATCTCACCTTCCCTTCTCATTGGACATCTAGGTTGTCTCTACTTCCCCAAGAACATACAGTATTTAGCCAAAGTTCTGACATACCATCAAGATAAATTTCTCTTAATTTTTTGGCCGTACCACATGGCATGTGGGATCTTAGATTCCCGACCAGGGATGGCACCTGGGCCCCCTGCAGTGGAAGTTCGGAGTCTTAGGGAAGTCCCAAGAGACAGGTCTAGAGGTGGAATTGCTTGATTAAACAGAATGTACGTTGTTATGACTCTTGGTATGTGGTGTTATTTGTTCCAGAATCTCAGGCTCCCACTGACAGTGCCTGATGGGATCTGTTCCTGCCTGTCAGCCCTCTGACGATGTCACTGTGAATCCACTTGCCGGTTCCATGGGTCCCCGTGGCCCGGCCCCTCCTCCCGGGCGCCTTTCCACTGCCTCTTCTCTGACCTCTAATCTGGCCTCACGCGGCTCCAAGAGTCCTGCCCTCGAATCCCTGAGCTCCTCCCCCTGGGCCCCAGGGTGACGGGCAGGGTGGACAAGACCCCCGTGGTCTGCAGCCGCCTCCACCCGGCTCTGGAAACTGCCTCAGGCCCGTGCCCCTCGCTGCCCGCCTCGGTCCCCGCTCCCTTAGCCTGGTCCGTGCCCTGGACCCGTGAGATCAGCTCAGGCAGCGGCCCCCCGCCTACTGCCCCCGAGCTGGCCACAGGGCCGCCCCACGCCGGGACGTGACCCCTCGGCTCAGACCCTCCCTCTTGGTGACCCTGAGTGGTCCCACCCCTGGGGGAGACCAACCGCCTGCAGGCCAGCCCTTCTCAGGCCACCCCTGCTCTTGCACCGATCGCCTAAGACGCAGGGCCCAGCAGCCTCTTCACTGTCCAGCAGACAGCCGAGGGGCGTCCGGCTCCTCCTCCTGCCCCCTGACCTCCTGCCTCTCTCCAGCCCTCCGTCCGCTGTGCCCTCCTCCCCGAGGTCTCCCCAGCTCTGACTTCCCGCCCCCTCCCACCACCCCACTCTGGTCCCGTTTGCTGACAAATGGCCCCCAGGACAGCCCAGATGCAGTCTGTCCTCCAGGGATGACGGGTCCTCAGGTCTGGGCCTGGCCACCCCTCCAGCCTCTTCTCGGACCCGCCGACTCCAGCCCTGAGGACCCCCGGGGGGCCCCTGACCCCCCACCTGAACTCCACCCCCGCGGGCCCCTGGGTCCTGCGGGCATCGCGCTGCGTGACGGCTGTTGCCCAGCCCAGTGCCTGCGCCCTGGGCTGCCGGCCCCACCGCGAGGCCTGGCGTGACGGAGGTCTGTCCCCCGTCCTGCCTTCCTCCTGTTGCCTGGGTCCTGCCCTCGCTTTGCCGTCCCCGCCGGACGCTACGATGCTGGCCCCCATCTGACCATCTCAGACCCTCTCAGACGCTGACGCTGCCCCGTGGCTGCACTGCTGATGCAAGACCCTGCGCGTCCCGCCCCCGGTCCTTCCCCGCGGCCACCCCCGCCTCTCCGGGGCAGGCGTCAGGCTGCGAGGCTCTTGTCCAGCTCGCACCCCTCACTTTGCAGGGGGGAAACTGAGACCCAGAGGAGTGGACTCGTCAGCCCAGCCAGCACTGGGGAGAGGGGTGCGCACGGCGCCGCTGGAGGCTCGGGCACTGGGAGTCAGCGCCGGCTGTGTGTCCTCACCTCTCTGGGCCCCCGGCCTCGTCCGTAAATTTGGGGTGACAGTGGGACCTGCCTTGTGGGGCTGCTGAGAAAGAGGTTGTGCCCTAAATGGTCAGTGCCCACGACGATCGTGCGGCGATGTCACTGATGGTCCCAGACCGTCCCTGGTGGTCAGTACTCTGTCCAGGGACCCCCCACCACATGTAGAGAGGAGGGGACTGGAGCCACATGGCCAGGGGGGCAGACTGTGGACCCCCAGACCCTCGCCTGGGCCTTTCCCATGGAGGCGCCTGCACCCTGGTGGGCTCGGCCTCCTGGGGGCCAGTCTCAGGAGGTGGCCCTTGGCTGGGGGGCCGGGGACACCGGAGAAGGTCCCCCCATCAGCCAGCAGAGCCTGCGCCCTGGTGCTCCAGGGACCAGCGCCTGCCCGGCGAGGGGAAGAGCAAGAAGGTGGTTCACCAGCCTAGGGGAGCCCCGGCGACCCCAAGACGAGGCAGTGACCCCCGAGACCTCCTGCCCCCGCCTCCCCGTGCTGTTCCACTCGGAGGACCCACGCGGGGAGGGGGAGATGCTAGTGTTGGGTGCAAAAGGTGCGGGAGGCCAAGAAACTCAGCAATCCAGAAAAATGATGTTTTAATGCAATACAAGCAATTAATGCAAGCAAGTCCACCCCAGACAAAATGCCGACCCTGCAGACGAAGCCTCCGTCTGCCAGGCCCCCCTCCGGCCAAGTCTCCCCCCCCTGCCATCTGCCCTCACGGCAGCTCTGTCCTCACGCCCAGTGTTGGGGACAGGGACCCCCACGCCCCCCATGACCCCCCCGGCCCTTACCTGTCCCACAGGCTCCACGGGCTCTTTCCTGCCGGGGCTTCCACATGGGGGGCTGTGTTCCGAGGCGCTGCCGTCGGGGGCAGCAGGCCGTGGGCGCCCACCGCCAGGCCCAGCAGGATGAGGGGCCAGGGCTGCCTGGGGACACCGCGCTGACCCCTGGGGGCCTCACGGGCCCCCTGGCCTGGCCTGGACCTCATGTGCCCCCAGGGCCCAGGGCACCTTGCGCAGACACGCTGGTGTGGGCTCCTCCTTGGAGGGGGTCGAAAGTGCCCCCGCTTCCCCTTGCTGGCAGGGGCCGTCCCGGTGCGCCCCGTCCCAGGGCCCCGTCCTCTGCCAGGGCCTTCTGTCCCTGCCCCCAGCACCGCCCCCTCCCCCAGGGCCGGTATTGGGGGGGGCCTCTCCCCGGGGGTAGGTCTCTGCCAACTGCTCTGCTGTGGTTCCAGGGCCCAACCGCCTCACGCCGCAGTCTCTGCCAGCCCCGCCCCAGGGACCCGGGGGGACACACCTGCTCCCACCCTCGTTCCCAAGGGTGCCCTGGGGGCGGTCGGGAGGGCGGCAAGGCCGGGGCTGAGGTGGGGATGGGGAGACGGCCCAGGTTACAGGCCGGCTGCGGAGCGGGGGGCCGCGGCTCCATCACAAGACTGGGCATGAGGTGCCATATTCAGCATCTGCTGGGTGACACCCCCCCATGGGTCTCACACAGACACACACACACACATATACACACATGGGTCTCACGCACACACACACACACACACACATGGGTCTCACGCGCATACACACATATACACACATGGGTCTCACGCGCACACACACACACACACACATGGGTCTCACACACACACACATACACACACACACACATGGGTCTCACGCACACACACACATATACACACATGGGTCTCACGCACACACACACATATACACACATGGGTCTCACGCGCACACACACACACACACACATGGGTCTCACACACACACACATATA